CTGTTAGTTTGAAACATTACTAAATGTTACACCCCCAAGCCAAAAGTCAAGACTTCAGCTGGACCAATGCTTAGTCTCTCAAAGTCAGACTATACCACATCAGCTTGATTCCACAGGATGAAAGGTGATAGCTTTGTTTCTATATCAAAGCATTCTTTAGAGGGTTTATAAAAACAGCCTAACAGAGGCAGAAACACAGATCAGAAAAAAATCAAGTGAGACAGCCCTGTCAAAACAACTTTAGTAACAGTGATATGGCTGTCATATTCATGTGTGTGATACTAGAACAATGTCAAGAGTTGGACAACAAGGGCTGAACCTTTTCTCTCCAGGAAATCCATGCATTTATTACAGATAAGTGACTGTAAATGTTACAGACCTGGGATTTTGAATCTTTTTGTGCAGAAAATGAAAACCATGATCAGAAATTACCCAGAGATAGGGCTTCAAAAAAAAAGTATGTTAAATGTATCTAGATTATAACAATATTCAACATTCTCAAAGTTTCATATTGTGACATAATCAGTTGAAACATATTTGAATAGAAAACGTAATGTGTTTATTTCTAAAGAGTAACATCATTGTCAGTTATCTGATGTTGAGTCATTTATCCTCGCAACTATAACTAATAAGCTCTAATAAAGCCCAACATTTTACCAAATGTTTTGATGAACAGATAATTGTGATTTGTCTATACACCCTGAAGAAGAAAGAAAAACAAAATACAAGCTGCTGGCAAGCTTGAAACCAAAAGCAGAAAGTTCTTAATGAACAAAAAGAGCAGCCAGCAATGCTGTGCGTGCAAGAGGCTGAACTAAAGGCAATGGGCTGGGTACAGAGATTACAGGGCCATTTCAAATTACCTCATGAAACACAACCAATAGGAAAGAGGATTCAGCATATTTCAAATCAGTACATTTAGAGTGAAGTGCTTCTGTCAGCGACTAAATTTGTTCTCAGTTGAGCACTCCAGCTGGCCGTCACAAAGTTTATACCGGTGTTTTATTCTTGATTATTCTTGACATGGCTGAATTCAAAGAGGACGAGAATCCACTCAAAGACCTCTGCCGAGACTGTACACATCTCTGAATTTCAAATTAAATTAAATCAGATTTGATCCCAAATTCAGATCTGAGTCAACAGAGAAAGGATGACCTACCATTAGGTTGAATTCTTCAAAATAAAATACACAAAATAAGAATATGTGCTCAGTGTTAGAAGGAATTGTACAAAAAAAAATTGAGTTAAACTCAAAACTACTTTTATCAATAAATGAATAAAAATATGTAGGATTCACATTTTTAAGATTTAGAGTTGGTTTGGGAAGCTGAGCAGCAAAGACACTGAGTGAAGTGATGACGTCATCCCGAGATAAATCCTCCACAGATGCTGTATAATGGAACAACTCATTCGGACAATATAACAGCTGTCATTTGGTGATCTAACTAGAACTGAAGCCAGGGTTATTTTTCACATTTGTGTTCAAACAGTTTGGATGTAATATCTTCAGGTGCTTTCACACCTGGATCATTTGGAGAAGTTGTTCCAAAACAGGGGCGTTTCCTTCTTGGCACAATCATTTGGACATATGTGAACACAGCGATTGCACCCTGATGTGGAACAAAACTAGCAAGCCGAGACGGCCTAGAAGAGGTGGTCTTGGATCTCTTCCAATCTTAACCCTGGAGCAGTTTGTTTGAAGCGAGAACGCAATCGATTTTTTTACCCTTTAGAAAAATATGTTTTTTGTTTGTTTTTAACAGCCTCAATTTGACAGTACAATATAAAAAAACCACTTATTTTTCTTTAACCTTCCCAATACATTTATTCAGAAGCAAAATAAATGAAGGAAGGAAACTAAAAAGATGTGGAACCACATCTCTTTATGTCAGTATTTTAAATGTGACTCCAGAGTTTCACTCTGCTTATCACAAAACTTTAAACACTCACGGGAAAACTTTTAGAAAGGAGTGTTGTCTGTTAGAAACGTGCACCAGGCAGACCTTGGTGACTCAGTATTGCAGTTGATTCACAGTTTGGGACAGATATGACTGTCTGTCAAGCTTTAGACAAACATCAGAGCACTGGGTCTGTGTCTAAAAAATCTGAGCTAAAGGCAAATTTAATTTCTTGATTGAGGAGAAGTTGTAAACTGTACCGGCATTTTGGAAATGTATTCAATTGGCTGAACTGGACAGTGAAACATGACGTTCATGGCCTGCTTTGATAAAACCAGTGCACATAAATTAGGTAAATTTCATAAATGTCTTATGAATGGTAGGGGAAACACTGCATGTTGAAATGATACATTAGACCATCTCTACACACTTCCTTTTTCGAGTGGAATTTAAGCTGTCACTAAAAAGTAACACATTTTGAGTGGATTGAGTGCAAGATAAGCACTATGGTGGCCTATGAGTCCCCCCAATCTGTAATGCCTCAGCATTTGAAGGTTAACACAGAACAGAGTGTTCACAGCCACTCCTCTACTTGCTAAATGCTCTGTTGAACAGAAATGTGTCCGCTCTATTTGCTCCCACAAAGCTTTTCAACAGTTATTAATTTGTCTGTAACGCCACCACTTGTCTTACAAATGCCTCATCATACTGCAAGTCATCATTTCCATTGCTTCAATGCCTTTCTAACAATTTAAAGCAAAATACAAATCAACACCCAGCCTGCAGCCCTATAGCTTCAGGTTTCATAATAATGGACAAACCTTCACCCACATCAATGTTATGAATAGAGTAGAAAACATAAATATCTCGAGTTAAATCCTTTGCTCATCCATAGCTTAAATATCATCCATATTATGATATAATGGATAACTGTTTTCCCTGTGGTACTTGCACCACACTCGTATTCTCCCTACATTTTATAATTATAAAGAGAACATTTTTATAGATAAACTGACCCGATAGGCAAATGGTTTAATCATACAGTATATTTCCATCAAAATATTATCCTTCAGAATTTGTGAACCAAGGCTGGATGTTGTTGCCCTCTTCTGTATCCTCCCCTTGAGTCCAATTTAGGTTTCTCCTCCTGCAGCATAAGATCCCAGGCTGCAGGGTGGGTGCTTGTCCTTCAGTGCAGGTGCGATATAAAGCAAACTATCTCAGATATGGAGATGGTGAAACACAGCAAGGGAGCGTCAGAGACAAGAGGTGCACAGGAAGGCATGCAGGGACGAGGACGGAGAGAAAAGTTGTGAAGAGGAGGAGAAAATATAAACTTAGTATCTCCACTTCAACACAGCATCAAGTCAACATGTTTTGTGGTAGACCGTACACATTACAGTTTTTACCATGGCTCTCCAGGGCCCCTTCAATTCCTCTAATAGCCATGCATTACTCTCTCTTATATATGCCCACATCCTTTATAACACTGGTCATCCTCAGCTGTGACAAGTCATTGTTCTCCCTTCTTTCTATGCTCTCTGCTCCCCACGGTACAACCCCTTTTTTAAATCTCTGTCAGCCTCAGTGTTGTTTCATTTTTAGAGAATGTATTCAATATTTTATCAACTTTTCTCCTGTGGTCACTTGTCAGCCATGACTTGATGTTTCTTTGTATTCAATACTACACAGATAATGTACAAATAAGTGGATAATTAACAAAGGCGAAAATGCAAGTTTTTGGATTTCTAATTAGTTTGGGTACTATTGTTTTGAAAGATGTGTACAAAGGTGATTTGAACCGTGGCAGTCTTTCATCAGTATCAAAAAGCTACTGACCTTTTTTTTTTTTTTTTACCTTTCATTTTAATATAGATTAATAAAAATGTGTTTTTTCAGTGTTGTACTTTTATTTAGTTAATGATCAGAGGAGGCTACAGAAGCGTCTTGTATAACCATTTGAAATATGACCCCTATGGAAGTACTTTAAATTGACAGAAATCTTGCAGAATATTAGAAAAGCCCATCACATAAATGGACCTATTAAATGTGTCGGATACTTTATTACACAGTGGGACTGCAGTGATTTGACAACATCGCTGTCTTTCAGAGAAACTAACAAAGACTGTAAATTGTACTGTAAATCAGAAAGGCTGAAGAGATCATAGACGAGGACAGTGGCTAATGAAATGCGTTCTGCATGACTGGATGAAGATAGATGCTGAAAACGATGCACAGCAGACCCTTTGAGTCCGTTCCCCTGCTGAACAATGACACCCAGACACAACGCCTGTCAGCAGCTGCCCTCCCCTGTGGCCAGGCACAGAGTGGTACAGAGCACTACAGGCACATAAGGATACACAAATATTAAACCAATAGACTGCAAATAGGCTACTAAATAGACCTAGCCCAAATCCCTGGCACATTGTTTAGGTCTTAAACAACTTGAAGGGCTAGTATAGTGCACCTCGCTCAGCTTTCAACTTCATCTTGTAACTTGCACTCTGCTGAATATGTCACTCAAATATCAAACCAGTTTGAGGTAGCTTATATGGTTTGTATCAAAAAAGGTTGAATGTTAAACAAAAAGATCAGATGTTTGAGTAGAGCATGCTATTTCTTCAAAGGCACCCCATTGGACCGTGCATGCCTGAGGTGCCGTTTCATAAAAAAATGATGCAGGAAAGAATTGAACCATTGAGGACATCTAAAAATTAATGACCTTCCGCAACTCATAAGACACCAAAGGCCTATGGCAATAAAACTACAAACGACAATTTTAGGCGTAGACTGCGCATCGATGAATCACCCACAATTGTAACACCGTGAATAGACTTAAAACATTTGTTATCTTTAACCGAAGTGACTCGGAAATAGTGTAATTAACAATATAGTTTTAAAACAAGAAACGTTTTCGGTCCAAGCTCACCATCCTGTGTGTTAACACTGATGCTGAGGACAAATCAACACGCTAAGCAGTTCAGCATCCATCCACAGCTCCTCTTCTTCTTCCTCTTCTTCTTCGAGGGAGATTATTACTACAGTCGATGTTGATCTCTTATCAAATGTCTCGAAACGTCATTTGAATAAACGATTTCTTACCTGGAGAATGTCATATGCTGATCAAGTCACCTCCTTTTGAGATTTGCGAGGGATGGTGCGGGCTGGTTGCGCATCACTCAGTGTGTGTTTCGCCGACGGAAAGCGTATGGAGCACAAGCGGCTGACAGCGGAGCCCCGGAACGAGTATGAAACATAACGAGCCCACTGCGGTTGTCTGGTCCGTAAATGCACCGCCAGCACGAGAGCAGCTACCCCACCCAGTGAGCGCGAGCTTAGTTGACAAAGAGTGACCATTACCAACTTCAATATAGGCCTACCTTTTTGTAAATTCATTGTGTCTCTTTTGAATTAAAGTATTAGCCTAATACTAGAACAATCAGTTGATAATTTGGTGTGCCAAATAAACAGATATAAATGATGAAGATCCAGTGGCAGGCCTACAGTCTATTTCAAGGCAGTTTTGCACTTGCATTATTTAAGTTTTTTTTTTCTGCACTAACTTGGGGTTAAAATAACTAACATATACAAACATAAACGCTGATTTTGAAGGTTTCATTACAGTCTATGATAAACTGGCTGATGTTAGTTAAGCCATAGCACTTGCGTCGAAGTTAGGCCTAGTTGTCTGAAATGGGCCACACAAGTAGCCTACTATCACATGAACGAGAAAATAGCACATTGTTGAACAATAGCACCATCATCATCACCATCACCCTCCTTGTTTCAAGTTAAACTAGTCTAAATGGGTATGGCCGTTCAGAGAGTAGGCTAATGTCAATTGCCGAATCGGTCAGTTGTCAGAAAATGTGTTAAAACTAATTCTAGGTATATTATTGCACGAACGTGGCGTGTGTACACGTTTGTCGACATTTAGGAGGATTTCAATGAACCAGTAGTCTATCAAAGAATGCCAGGTCCGGTGACTGTCCATGAACGCACCATTTTATGGCGGCCGGATGAAGGGAAATGTAGCCTACCTAATAGTGGTTTATCGACACATTTTAGATAATTGTCAAAGATATTTAAAAGAATAACAAACTAAGACAAAAAGTCATGTTCCTCCTCCTTTTTTTTTTTTTTTTTTTTAGTAATTTGCCTTATTTGGCTGCTTCAGTTCCTGTTTTATTTTGTAGACTAGGCTAGGCCTACTCACCTTACATATCTTATCGTCACTTCCATTTCTGCACTGATTATTTTCACCTGTGCGTGATCAGCCTCACCTCCATGCAGTAGCTCTATTTCGCCAGTGAGTATCATGGTTTTTTTGTACCTCGTTTCCCCTTTTCCAGCATTTCTTGATGTTTCGTTTTCTTGAACCTCGCTTTGTTGGATTTTGTTGTGTTTTCCCTGGTGGATTTGTTTACCTTTGTTTAACCTTTGCCTGTCTCACTGCAGGGTAAGTTTTCGCTGCAACACAGAACTGCCCCAGGTGGGTCTCTTTAGTCTGTTGGGTCATACCTCCTGTTTCCTGCTTGCACATCTTCAAAAACATTTGAACTTTCACATGTGTCCCCTCCTACACAATTTGTTTTTGTGTATTCACTTGTTGAACTGATTAGAAGAATTCTTGGAAACTGACATTTTCGTCATTGCTGTCCGTATGATGTGCAACCTTCACCTTTCACAATTTATTTTGAAAGGTTGGGTTTGGCTGCTAGGCTACTTCTTATTCCTAGTGCAGCTCTACCCACAAACTGAGTAACAGCGGCGTCTAATCAATCAGAATAATTGAGAACAGCTGTGTTGGTGTTGTTTGGCCTTTTTAGGGTCTCTGAGGAGGAAATATGCTGCAAGTTTGGTGAAATAATCTGTAGGAATCTTTTAAAGGGATACAAATCCCCCAGAAGTATTCTCCCCCATCTTTCCTAAATAGGTAATATTTCTAGTTCATATTTACTCTACACCCCTATAAAAGAGAAATGTAAATTAACGTTATAATTTGATATGTTTCTCCTGTAGCAAGAAGTTCAAAGAAAGTTGTTAACTCTGATCTTCAGGAGTTATTTAGGAAGTCCCCATATTTGGAAAGACAACTTACTGTATGTATTGAAATCACATTCATAAACTACTTTGCTGTTTGGTTTAATTTAATGCTGAGATGCATGTTTTGCTTCTCTTGTTATAAAACACAACTTAAAAGTTAATTTCTTAACAAGAAACAATGCCTCTTAAAGTGCTTCAGCCTCCTATATCAAGAAGACAATGTGCCAACACTGCCACTCAGTGGCCATGGGCTATCATTACAATGAATTTAAGGACATGTCACAGATGGACTAGGCTAAAATCTGACATTAAATCGAAAAAAGCCTGAAAGAACAAAGGATAATCCCTTTCACAGGCAACATTGCTTTGCATGTTTGAACAGAATTGGTTCATAGTATCTGTTAAAATGTTTTGAAATATAATACAAGTCTTTATTGTGATAACCATGCAAGGGTTAACGATGTAAAGAGGACTCCTGTGTTTGTTTTGCAAGACAATCTGACAACAGGATGAAAACAGCTGGGTGGGGGGAGTGTTTTAGTGGATTCAAGGTACCAGACAAACATGAGCCATGTGTTTAATGTATCACAGGGAAGGTGTAGAACATGTTGCAATGCCTGATGCTTTAATATATTTCAGTCAGTGTGTATTGTTGAACCGTGTCACTACTCTGTGACCTTGTATAAGTCATGTAACTTTCTTTTCTCTCTCCTGAATATTTATCAATCTTCAGTTGTATAGTGCCAATTAATAACAAATGTTATCTTTTCATTCAAAATTTGAGATTTTATGTTTGTTTGTTTTTTCTTAACTTTATTGTTTCTTTTAATGAAATAAAATTGACAAACAAAATCTCAAGACACTATACAAAAAGTATAGTTAAAAGTCTGTCTCTTTATTTAATATTACAAAAGAGCAGGAAGACCTTACTCATTGTTATATTACAAAGTTCCCCCGGCAGTCTAAGCCTAAAGCATTATAGCTATGAGCTTGTCCATACCTGTGCCAGCCCAAACTACAGTATAAGATTTATCAAAAAGGAAAGTTTTAAGCCTGTTCTTAAAAGTATAGGACCGAGTGTGTCTGCCACACGGACCCTGACTGGTAGATGATTCCAAAGGAGAGGGGGCATGATAACTGAAGGCTCTCCCTCCCATAGTACATTTAAAGACTTAGTACCACAAGAAGGCCTGCGTTCTGGGAGCGTAATGTTCTCGATGCTGCAATATTAGCTTTTTAAGATAATTGCCTGGCCCTTAAGAGCTTTGTACATGAGAAGAAGGATTTTAAATTCTATAATTCTATTCTAAATTGTATAGGGAGCCAGTGCAGAGAAGCTAATACAGGAGTAATGTGGTCCCTTTCCCAAGTTCTAGTCAGTACACGAGCTGCAGCGTTTCGGACTATAGCTGAAGAGTCTGATGCCATTTAGGACAGTTGTATCATTAGAAAATGTCTCTCTGAGCTTTTTTTTTTTTTTTAAGGCCAAACACAATAACTTCAATCTAGCTGAACTGAACTTTGTTTGGATTAAAACCGTTTATCCTAGATACATTTCACATTGTATATCTTTCAGTCTGTACAATCATTTATTCCTATATTATAATATCTTATATGTATAGCCTTAACATTCTTGCACTTTAATATAAATAACAACTATAGCCTTAACTAAATTGTGGTTTAAATGATGTGTAATATTATATTGGTATACAGTGTTTCCCCTACCATTATATTAGGGGGGTGGCCCACTCTCCCAACGCCCCCGCCCCCCTTGAAGGTCAAGTTAATTAAAAAAAAAAAAATTGTGGGGGGGGGGAGTCTTTAGTGTAGAGATAGGATAGAGTCAGAAAAATGTCATTTAAGTATACCTTTCCGATAGAACAGGACAGCTGTCATTAAAAGTAACGCATGAACACCAAAATTCCTTTGAGTGTTTGTGTCGGCGTCCGTCTGCCCGCACCTACATGGGGCTCACGCACTGACCACTAAGCTACCGGCACGGTATGCTGTTCATTGTGCAAGATGATTTGTCTGCTCTTCAAAAACATATTTTATTCTCTTTTATTGATAGAATGTACCTGCTAGAAGAGTCAGTAGTTTGGCCTGTTTGCTAAGCCAGTCTTGATGAACAAGTGTAACAGCAGGTCACACATTTATGTCCGTTATAACTATTATTCATTCCCTCTGAAGCTGTAACTTGATAGACAACACTGACCAGCCTGTACTCTCTAAACCTCTCATCATCAGCCCCTCACTGAAGCTGCTCTGAATGCAGACCATTTAAATCATGGAACATGCCTAAAGTCAACTATTTACCTATAAAGACAATAATGAAAACTTGAATTTTGACACAGTTAAAATATGAGATTTATGCCGATACTATCATTCATAAAATATATATTCTAAAGCAAAGCTCTGCAGAATTGTTTGACATTAATGTTAATCCTCTCCAATTTGACACCTTTTTATATAGCAAACATTTCTCACATTAGGTGCACACATTTAACAGTTTCATACACAGCACAGACTCCATGAAGACTTGTAAAGGTAAATATTATTTATTCAGGAATTAATGCCCTGACGACACGCGGAACTGAACAGTACTGTCATTGAAGAAGAAGAAAAGCAAATCACCCTACATTGTTTCCTTATTGTATTTAAAGTGTTGATTACATATCCTTACCATTGTGCTGAATAAACACCATCTGTCACCTGATGTCTTTATGTCCTTTCTCTTTTGGAAATACATTGAAGTGGATTGCACTTTCCATCATCACAACATCAAATCAGACACAGTCTGTAATCCCTGGATAACTGTTCCTCCTATATATATGAATCAAACAGGAGAATGTTTCATAACCACAGGAGCATCTCAAGATATCAATACTTGATATGTTGACGTCAACACATTCCAAAAGAGGAGGGTTTGGAAGTGTCAAAGGTCACCTTTCATATTTGATCTGACATTTTGTATCTTATTGATGTTGTAAAGATTCTGACCTCGACGCTAAAAGAAAAATCCCAGAAGACCCTGATGTTTGATATTTTTATACCTTTGAGGGGAATTTAAAGTGGTCTGGGCACTTTGAATGTCTTCATCCAGTCTGACAGCATATTGAGACACTAAGCTCAACAGGGGTTTATACAATCATAAATGGTTCTATGTATATGCGTTTTCCTTTTTGTGTAGCTTAAACTTATGCTATTTAACGTGCATACAGTATAATGTGTGATTTATAGCTCTATTGTATAATTTTCTAAAGATTGTTGTGCACGAGCTCAGCGGTGTTACTATAAGGCATACAATAATGTTGTAGACTTGATATAATGGCTCCAAAATTACAAACTGTGTGTCCAAAAACTTTTTATTGTTTTATATAACACATCAACATGCTGAGCAAATCTTGGTGTAGAAATTACACAACATCATTAAAAAAAAAACCTGGAGAAATAAAGCGTGGCACAAGTTTTGTTGAACGTGTTGTTTTGAGTTCAAGTAGACTTTGTGACAGGCTTATAAATATTCATGAACAAGATTGTGTGAGAGAAAAAGGAGGGCTTGTGGTGAGGAAGTGAGCTGATGCAATGAGAAGTTTGGAACAGTCTCATACACAGAGTGCAAATTTCTTTCAAGAATGAAGACTGTATGAAGAGAACCAGACGAGCTATACAATAAGACAATCTGCCTTACAAATATGCACAGAAGTCAAGTCAGAGGGGCTATCATAAGAGAGTCATCAGACAGAAAACTGAGTAATGGAACAAAGAAACAAAGGTGTCACTAAGAGTCAACAGAGCGCAAAGCGGGTAAAGGTAGCATACAAGTCCAAGATAAGGATGTGGCATATGGAAAAATGTCTCTCTCTATGAAATAATCTTTTACTCTGTCATTTGAAGTTACATACAGAGATTTCCAATCCGTCTTTCCTGGTTAGGAGAAAGTTATTAAATGATTCATGAAAGTTTAGAGTGCAAAAACTTAGATTGGTGACCTAGATTTTTAGTATACTTGAACAATTTTAGATACCACATACTGTAACTTCAAACTTGATTTACTTTATATTTTATTTAACACTTTATATTTTTATATTTGATGGATATGTTACGCTCTTTTGGGTTAGACGTGTATTTTACTGTGATTTCAGAGTAAACTAGCACAAGTGTTCATATAATAAATAATATAATATATTGATAAAGTTCTATCCTATCTTTAAGAAAAAAGTAGGAACAGGTCTGAGTGTGAGAACCCCCCCCCCCCCACACACACACACACACACAAAACACAGGCAATTCTTCATTATAATACATATTCAATGTATTTTTTCCACTTTCCCTTCTACTTCTCCTCTCACTGCTTGTGAAACATTTCATATACACGTCTTTAGTTCCACCTAAAATTAAGAAGGTTTATAAAGTTATACAATTACCCTTTATTGTAACCCTGTTCTACCTCAAATTTTTTCACAGCCTGTTTTAATGGGTTGGTGTATTGATCTCCACTACCAGCATCCAGCTGACTGATTTATGTACAACACTAGAGGCCGCCCGTGAGCCATGGTACGCGAATGACTCTGGGCGAACGTGAATGGTGAGTAAATGTGCCCCCTTATCCACTGTACGGGCCTGGTGGCTGTAATGGTATGATGGTCATAATGAAACAAAACAGGCTGCTCATGACATTGATACTAATCAAAGGCTTGATGGAGGCTAAACACGCGAGATCAGGTTCCAAGTTCTGCAGGTTGTGCGTAAAATGGTGCGCATCTGAGATTCTCACCTGAATCTCTGTATTAATGATTCTATTATGAAACGACAAATTATTGTTTATATGAATAATAGTAAAAAAAAAAATCATGATTGAGGGTAAAAGCTGGTCACATAACCAGAAGTGTCCCTCTTCTATTGTCGACTGCGCTTTCTCCATCCCAGAATGCAGCGACAGGCTTGTATACTATAACAGAGTCAGCTGTCGGTCATAATTAGCACCATAATCACCAAGGTTGTCTACCTCAAGCCTTTAACTTGCATGTCATGGTCAGAAGCTTTTCTATATTTGTTGCAAATATTAGCGGCTTTATGAATTATGCATTTGAACATTATATCCTAATTTATTTCTCTTCAGATGTCATCATAAGCTTCCCATCAACATGTAGTTTCGTAGTAAACGTGCGCGTAAAACGCTGCTAAAAGCCGGGAACCTCTGATGAAATGGTCAATAGCTCTGAGGGCACGCGCGGATCCCTCGCCGCCTCAGCTGAGTAGACGACCTCCTACCGACTTACTTCACGTCACCCCGCCCGTCTGCCTGCCGTCTCCTCCCTGAAACCTTTCCTACGACCATCCCTTGGAGCGTCTCTGGGCTGTGCAAGCGAACACTGACTGAGAGAGACAGAGGTAGAAAGTGAGAGAGTCCAAATCCAAGCAGACTCCAAACATCACCTAGACTACCTGCTCCAGCACAACGAGGGGAGGAGGACGCACAAGTGCAGGCGCGTCCATGCGTGCCAGCTGAGACAATAAGCGGGTAGAGGACCACACATCCAAAATTGGAATAAGAGTTCATCTGGAGAACTCTTTGAAAGAAGACACCTTTGTGCTTCAAGAACAAGACAGCCTAAATGAGTAAATTGTGAGAAGAGTCATGCATCTCAACAGAGAAGAAGATAACAGCAAAGGTGAGCAAAAGATTTCAGTGGCCATCCGTGGGTACATTTTTTAATCCAGTGTGTGTAGTTCAACGGTCTCGCGTTGGTTCCAGATGCCCTTGAGTTTGCCATGTTGATGTCAAGTAATGAAACTGGGGGTCATTCAACAAGCTGCTGTGCTTTATGTGGGGCTTCTGTTGTTGCCTTTTACCAAAACGCACAGAAAAAGCCATCAGCGGCAGCGTGGAGGGCTGTTGCATACACCCCTGTCTGTGAGACAGCCACTTGGGCACTTCTGTTGTGCACGGTGTAGTCGTTTCGCGCACGGTGACCTGAGCATACATGCACAAGGTCATCCATACTCTGTCATATTTGTGAGCGACCCGCCGTGTTTGTGCAGACGCGAGATGTGTGTTTGTGTTGTTGTCTGTTATTGACTAGCCACTGGTGTGTATGTGCGCGCGCGCGAGTGTTGATGTGTGTGTGAGTGCCCTCCGTTGTTGTCGGAGGGGAGAAATGGAGAGCAGACGGTGTGTAATGACACGAACCTTCCATCAGGACAAGTAATGATGATGCCCCAACCAGAGCCACGCGGGGTATTTTTACACCCCATCTCTGAGCTGAGGTCGAGGTCACTGATCAACACCTGATGCTGAAGGAGATTTTGTTTCTGATTGTCCGTAGACATGACGCTTGTGTCTTAGATTTGCATTTGAAGTAACAACTGAAGTGACTCGTTTTTGTTCACCACACCCACACAAAGCAAGTTTAGCACAATGGGAATGATTGATAAGCAGCAGTATTGTCTCCATCTGTTTAACCCGTGGACTTAAATTAAATTGGCTTATTTCTTGCATGTTATGGTCAAAACTCTCCAAGTGATACCAGTAGAGCACTTTAAGGAAGAACTGTTTCTAGTTTAAGATGGCAAGAACTCAATATGAAACTGTAAATCTCTCGTAACTTTCCTTGTCTCACATCTTAGCATCATGCTGATAATGATGTGATATTGCTGGCAAGGGAATACAACATTTCAATTTTTATGTGCAGCTGTCATGCTTTATGGGCGGCGAACATCTTTGTTTTTAGCAGCTGTAAAACATGCTGTTGAGAGTGGAGTTCCCCATGTGCTCAGTGGTGCCCTGCTAGTGACACTCCGCGTCCTCCCTCATCCACAATGTCTTTCGACCTCATCCCCAGTTAAGGTTTCACTAGGGACAAAAGATGAGTCACCAACTGCGACTGGACGTGATTTCCTGATTACATGACAGGCAAGTGTGTGTGCTTCAGTTCAGAGAGAGAATCTGTGTGTCAGAGTGAGAGACAGAGAGAGTGTGAGTGTTCATGCATCTGAGAGTGAGACTGAATGTGTGAGGGGAAGGTGTGCAAGTCAAAAAGCTTTAGTGAGAGGTGACATATAGCAGCAGAATTTTAAGAAAAAAACATATTAAAGTTTCTTTCAGAGTAGAAAACCTGTGGAACACTGATCAACGAGTGATAACAGTGCTCCCTCTAATATAAAAAGATTACGTCCAAGCATCCTTTTTAAATCCAAGTTGGAAAGTGCACCAGCCAATAATAGTGATACAGAAAATATTATTCCAGGAAACATCATCTCTTTAAGTTAACTAAACCAATTTCAGTTCAATTTAATAAAATTACTTTTTTTATGTTGTTATTAATTATTTTTTGCCCATATTGATAGGACAAGTGAAGAGAGACGTGGGTAGGAGAGAGTGGGGTAGATGTACATCAAAGGGTCGAGGCCAGGAGTTGAACCTGCAATCGATGCGTTAAGAACTGTCGCCTGTCTGTATATGGGATGTCTGCTCTACTGTCTGAGTTTAACCTGCTCCCTAATAAAATAACTTTCAATGTCCCCATTGAGGTTTAATGCAAAAGCATTCAGCACATCTTAATGCTAACAAATATGACAAACTAATTGAATTGAATTATAAAAATGTATTATTTTACGTATAATAGAGTTTTATGTTTGAAAAATTATTCATTTTTTAGTGAAGAGGACATTACCCAACTACAGTATGACATTTTTACTCTTACAGTTAATAATTGTGATCAAACCAGTTAATTGATGAACAAAGTCAAACCGTGAGGTTTAATTTTGAGCCAACTAGAAGCAAGCCGACTTTTTTAAATTCATCATTACATTTGAAATCTGTAACTCTTATCAAGAGCTGTTTAAAGAGTGCTACTATCTGGTTTTAACACATTTAAGCTGGCCCAAGTCCTCTCATGTTCTGTGAGGCTATTTGGCCACTTTAACCCTCAACTCAAACAGATGGTGTTTGAAGTGTATAGGCCATCCACTGTGTCAACATGAATCAGAGCAATAGCTCAGATTCAACACCAAAAAATATTGCCCAGCCTCCAGCTTTAATTGTCATGTTGCATTACCCTGGGTAACCAAAAAAGTTAACACGTTTTCCTTCAGTGACAATCTTTTTCAGGACTAATTTTAGGGTATGGGGGTGTTTTAGGAAATTGTAAGTAAGCCAAATGACAAGATCGACAGCTGTTACATTTTCATGATGCTCACACTCGATGTGAGCTGCAAGAGGCTCCAACTGTTTCTGTAGCGTTTTTATCTATTAATTTAATTTCAAATTACTTGAATGACTGAATACACAGAAAAAACTTTGCAAAGTCATTTAAACCATATAAAGGCATCAGTTTATCTTGAGCTGTCACACAGTGAATAGTGTGCCAGCTTTTATGATGTGTATTCAAGAAGTGTATACAATAGTGAGACAGATTTTCTCTCAGTGTTAGAAATCTAATAAATTTTCTGAGACTCATTTATGTTGAAGTGAGTGGGTTCATTTTTTGATGCCATGATATGATGCAAGTTGGTGCTCATATTAACAAATATTGATCAGGCTGTCCTCCACTATGCAGTAAGAATACAGCACAAATCCTCCAATCTACTGGATGTTAGTGTATTTCTTTAGAAACCTAAAGTGCATTGTTTTTTTTAGTAAAGTTAGTGGATTACGCAGATGACTGTATTGTATGAGCATAAGAAGAGATGCATCTTGTACTGGTGTAATATTCTGTGGATGAAACTTTTTTTTTACTGCAGCATTGTTTTGATCTCTTCAGAACAGGCCAAGTTTAAATGTCAGGTGTGTCAGGGTGGCCTCCTAGCACGGTGCAAAAGAGTCATTATTAATGTTGCACGTGAACATCCAGAGATAATTGTATAATATTAGTAGCATTAAGATTCAGAGGAAAATGTTTAATTAATGTTATGGAGCAAAACTAATGGACCGGAATCTTATTACTGACTGGAGACAAGCTGCAAGAGAGAAGACACACAAAGAGCAGTAATTAATATAATCTGAAACAAAAGTATTTACATTCCCAGTTTAACGCTGAGCCACACTGCTGGGAAACAAGCCACCTAGATTTATAGGCACCAGGGACAAGAGCAAGATGCCATGAAAGGGGAAATATTGCTCTGTTCTACTTAGCTGCACACAAATTTACAACCTAGGAGGAGTATGATAGAACATCCCATCAAAATGATGGCTGAATGGAAAAGTTAAGACAGGAGGGGACCAGAAGAAGACACAATGTGTCACAGAGAGGGGCAGAGACAGGTTTCTGTGGGGTGAGCAGCACCAGACGAATAAATTCTTCAGTATTTTAGAAAACTGTCACTTGGATTTTCTCATGGTGTATGAGTTTGATGGGAAAAAAAATACAAAAAATGATTTTCCATGAGGGCTTCAAGCAAGAGTCAGCAGATTTGTGAGTCCATTATTTGTAATATTTGATCAAAATAATGTTCAATCTTCTATGAGCCGTGTTTACATTTGGTATTTCTCAATGGTCTGTAAGAAAATAAAGAAGAGAAAGCTTTTTCTAGGTTATGAGTGCATTATGAGGCTGCAAGGAAAACAAGAAAATCAATTAAGTTGGCACTAATGTAATATGTGTATTTAGTTATCTTATGATTTTGGCAGGAGCAAAACATAATTTCAGTGTGATTATTATTGGACAAAAAAGAGGATCACACCTGATGCATGACCACATTTATACTGCAGTAATCATGACTGGTGAGGTTTTCTGAACTTAGCAAACAACTTATTTGAACCATGTGTAGTATATCTTGTTCTCTCTACTAATTGAGGGAACGAGATAAACTGTTACACTTTCAGTTTTGTCGGTATATCCTGTTCTATCAACTGGTAGAGATATTCACAGGTTCCTACTCATGTCAGGATATTACAGGAGCTGCTGTTGAAGTTTCTTCAACATTGCTGTATCTATGAGCAAATCTGCTCCACATGTAGATTTGTGTGGACTCTTTGTGCTCACATACCCTTGAAAGAGTCAAGTCTCTTCTATGCAATGTTCTTTTATTCCCTATTCCCTCCCTACACTTTAACTGGACTTCAATGTCAGTGCGGTGGAAGTTGCCAATGTGCTTATGTTGACCATCTTGCCTGTTATTTCTCAAATAGTTCAACAAGCACTATAATAACTTTATAATAATAATACATTTATTTCTAGAGCACTTTTCAAAATCCAGGTTACAAAGTGCTTTACAAAGGCTGTAAAAAATAAATAAAACAGTCATAAAGTCAAAAGCACAAAACAAAAGAATCAAAGGATCAAATTCATTTAAAATAATTCTAAAAGACGCACACAAATCGTTCAATTCAATCAAATAAAATTATACTTGTGGTGAAGTTGGGAGAGGCTTCAGAGGCGTGTTTAGTAAGATCTTTGCTTTTTGCAATCTACTCTGATCACAACCCTCTCCTCTTTCTGTCCTGCACTTACAATCACAATCAGTGACTGTCACTCTGGATTGATAACCAGTGATCTTTTGATGTGCAAGATCACAACGAAGACATTTCTCTTCACAGGAGTTCAGAAAGTGTTTTTGTAGATGTTGTTTCTATGTAGCCTGTGGTTTTAAGATCACCCAAACCTATCAGTTTGTGTACCGAAGAGTGGTCTATGACGGCCTCAGCTGTTGCCACCAATTATTGTTTTACTTG